AACCCCACCATGTTTTGTATCAACTATGTAGAAAAGTTATCAGAAATTTAATAAATTTAAAATAATAACTTATTTAATAATGATAAACGACCAAAATAAACTGAAAAAAAGTGTAAGAGAGAACCTACTCTCTAATGATGATCTTAGTTATTATTCTTAAAGTGATTATTCAGAAGAGAATACTCAACCAGTGATTCGTAGTAATATTTGAGTCTTGGCTCTACCTATCATTAATATTGATATATACGGTTTTTTAACTTAATTTTCATAGACGAGGCAGGATCTAACACAAAAAAAGAATCAAGTGAATTTAATAGTGAAAGTCAGGTATGTATTTTGAAGAATAATAGAAATACATATATTATGAAATAAATGCTCTCTATTAAAATTTCATTTAAAATAGAACATTTGAAATATCAATGGCCGAGGCTGGGCATTTTAATATTCCTACTATATAATTTAAATTATAAATTGTTATTTATTTACCACGTGTAGGAAAATTAAGGACCGAATTCTGGTGAAATCGAATGTAGGGTATGTCACAGTACTTAAAATTAAATAATTCATAACTCAAATTGCGGACATTATTTTTGCACTTAATGTGCACGGTAGGTAATCTTATTATCATTAGAAAAGAATTAAATTGATCAATTCATCTGCCCAATACAAGGTTGTCTTAAGAAAATATCTGGAGAAGTAGAAGTTAAAATAGTATTTTAAAGTGATGATTTCGAAATTAGGTGTTTATATGAAGATTTAGAATATAAGAACTCGCTCAAAAAGTAACCCCTACTAAGATTCTGTCCAAAATAGAACTGTGGCGGTTTTGGAATGGCTTAGAATTTCAATGAAAAATTCGTGAAGTGCCAAGATTGCGATAATTAAATATGCTTCGAATGCAGGGAAGATTGGCATGGTGATTTCACATCTTGTGAATCAGCAATGAATAAAAAACTTAATGGCATACCTTCAGATAATTTAAATGTTTCCTACTGTCCTAAATGTAAAACCAAAGTAGAAAACTTAAAGAAAAAGGATTAAGATAACTTAAAAGATTTATTTCATATAACTTGCTACTTCTGTAAGTTTGAATGGTGCTGGAACTGTCGTGGTACATATGCTTATGATCATTATTTACCTATTAATCCTTTCGGATGCGGACTTAGATTGTTTGCTAAGAAACATAAATGGTATATCTAAACTTTGATAAACTTTGGATGGTTATTAGTTATTTTGCTCCTACTGCCCTTATGGTTAATAATTCAGATACCAATAGCTTTAACCGCTTATTGCTTTGAAGGACCTTTTGAGCTTTTAGGAAAATATTTTTGCAAAAATCCCCTCGCTTGCGTATTAGGATTGATAGTTGTAGTTATACTTTTCACGATAGGAATGGCTATTAATCTAATCGCAATACCATTATTCCTTACAGTAGGAATACCATTATTAATTGGATTCATGATTCATTAAAGAGCTAAAGTACATAAAAAATCCAATAAACTTCTAGAGGGGTTACTTTCAGGCAATATGTATTTGGGAGTATATAAATAATGAGAAAGCCATTATTTATATTAAAAAATAATTGATTTCATATTCTCTATTAGAATCTTACACTGTTTTAAGATTTTAATAAAAGCTCAAATTTAATTATTTTTTAATTTCTTGACTTAATTGACATGATGACTTTAAAAGAAATCTTCTTCATGGGGTTTTGGGGTTTTGGGG